AGAACAACCAGATTAGTGTGATTTCCCTAAAAGTCATGTGTATTATTTGGTTTTTGTTAGTGAGAATGAAATACTAATCTGCTCTGGTTCGCTTAGTAATTGCGTTAGTTGTATCACTTTTTCCATCATTTCTTAGGTTTCGTTTCTCATTGTTATCTTCTTGTAGAGTTCATCAGTAGGTTTCCAGATAATTGGTGAAGGAACAAAACCAGTTTCATAACCATTTAAAGTTACATGGTGTGTTTACAGAGGCCTTTCCTTGAGGACATTTTATAAAATAAACTAGCCAAGGCTATCTGATAATACTATGAGATGGTTACATCAGGACTTGTGAAATAATTATATTTGTTATTTTTATTTTCCTGAGCTGTTTATTGTATATTCACATATATTTTACCTTCTAACTTGCATACCTTCTACTAAAATACACCTTAAGAAGGAGGTTGCTGGTGGGTGAAAATATCAAATTGTTATTTTTACTGTGACTTTCTCAGTATCACAAGATCCTAGTTTGAGCTTGGGTCTAGATTTTTTAAAAAGTTATTATTTTTAAAATTTTCTACCCCGTATGTCTATTAAATAATATCTGTTAACTCTGTTTTTACTTGATCTCCCAAAATATGAGCCATAATCAAACAATAGGAAAATCCCCAGACATTTCTCATCAGAGAACCTGATGGAACCTTCCTGATGGGAGGCTTAATCTAAATGGATTGTCTAGCCTGTCCTAGTTCTGGTTTAGTTTGGAGTGACTGTTTGGATGGTTCACTTTAATCGTTGTCAAATACAGATTGGCTCAATTTTAGCTCAAACTAGATCACTAGAAATGAGGAAGAGAGAGAAATAAGTAGTTCTGTCAAAGTTTTTTATTAAAAGGAAAACAAACATACTTGAGCCCAATTTGTGTTTTCATTTGGAGACATCGTTGGAGTGCTTACTGTGTGTTAGGATGTGGAGGGCCAGAAACACAGAAGATGCCATCTCTCCCCTCAAAGGGCTTACAGTCTAATATGAGAAAAAAATCAAAGTTACAATTCAGAGTGCTAAGTCCTAGAATAGAGCTATACTTAGTACACCAGGTCAATTTTGAGAAAAGAAGTCTTTCCCAGTGGTGGGGGCAGCTAGGGAAGGTTTTTGGTAGAGGTGACAACAAAGCTGAGTCCTAAAGGGTAAGTTGGAGTTGGCCAAGCAAAGAGTAGGAAGGGCGGGCAGTTCAGGAAGAAGGAACAATATGGGTAGGCAGGTGAACCAGGGCCAGGGAAGAGCATGTAGTTCCCTTAGGGTGGAGTGGGAAGTGGGAGACGAGATAAAAAATGAGCCTGAAGAGAGAAACAGAGACTGTATCACAGAAAGCATCATGTGTAAGCTCTGTAGGGGTCTCAGACAATTTCTGACAGGGCAGTGAGTTCTGGATATATTAAGATTTATCTCAGTTTCTCCCATACTTTTTTGTCCTACCTCAGAGCCCTTGCACATGCTATTCCCTTTGCATGGATACCTCTTCCCCGTTATTTTCCTGGCTGGCTCCTTAGTATCTTTCAGATGTCAGCTCTTAAGAGAGACTGTCCCTGATCAGCCTTTCTAAAGCAGTCCTGCCTGTGATCCTCTACCATACAATACTGTTTGTTTCCTTCATATAACTTACACCGTTTATTTTTTTAAAATAATTTGTTTGTTTTACATGGTTATGGCTGTCTCTACTTTAGACTGTATGCTCCCTGAAGTTAAGGACTGTATCTTGGGCTCCTAGCACAATATGTGACACATGAAAGGTGCTCAGTTAATTATGTATTGAATAAACAAATCAATCATCAGATTTGCCTGTTAGTGAGACAGTTCTGGCTACAGAATAGAGAGTGGCTTGGAGCGGAAGCCAAGATTCATGACAGAGGACGGTTAGGAGGCTGTCCCATGAAGCTGGTGAGAAGTGGCAAGAGCCTGAACTGCAGTCACGTGGAGGAGATGGAGACATACATGGAGTCAAGAAATAGTAAAGAAATGGAATCAGTGAGGGTTAGTTGGGTGTGGGTAATTGTAAGAGGTAGGAGTTAGGAATGACACCAAACCATGGAAAACTAGATGAACAGTGGATGGTTCAGTGAGACAGGGAACTGTACAGAGCAAGAACAGGTTAGAGGAGGAAGAAGACGAGTTCAGCTTTGGACATGTTGGATCTGAGATTCCTGTGGGCTATCTAGGTAGAAATGTCCAATAAACATTTAGATTTATGGGTTTGGAACCCAGGAGAGAGATCTTGGCAGAAGGTAGAGATTTGAGAGTCATTGGCCTAGAGATTCATTCCTCCCCTCATTCAACAAATATTGCCTTACTAACTGCTTTGTCCCAAGCATTAAGGAAACAGTGTGAACAAAACAAGCATTATTCTAGTTTCCATAAATATCATAGTCTAGACTAGTAGCTGATGTTTTGAAAATAGATAAAATAAGTTAGGAAACACATATATGAGTGTGTTTGTGTGTGTGTGTGTGTATATAAAGTATATATATATATTAAAAAAAAAAAACCTCATTGCCATCGAGTCAATTCTGATTCATAGCGACCCTGTAGGACAGAGTAGAACTGCTCCATAGGGTTTCCAAGGAGTGGCTGGTGGATTTGAGCTGCCGACCTTTAGGTTAGCAGCCGAGCTCTTAACCACTGTGTCACCAAGGCTCCATGTATGTGTATATATACGTTTCCTACGTTGTTTTATCTATTTCCACAACATCAGCTACCAGTCAAAATATGTATATACTTCGGAGCCCTGGTGGTGCAGTGGTTAAGAGCTTGGCTGCTAACCTAAAAGTCGGCAGTTCAAACCTACCAGCTGCTCCTTGGAAACCCTACAGGGCAGTTCTACTCTGTCCTACAGGGTTGCTATGAGTCAGAATTGACTCGAGGACATTGGGTTTGTTTATACACATACATACATAGAGAGATACAAAGAGAGGGGGGGGAAGACAGAGAGAGAAAAAAGAGATGAGCACAGACCCTGGAGAACACCATCCTTTAGGAGGTGGACAAAAGAAAAGGAACAACCAAGGAAAAGTGGCAGTTGGAATGGATGAAAAGCAGATGTTTCCCCCTCTCAAGTCATTGAACCAAACTAAACTTAGTTTTAAAAATATATTGCGTGTTTTTTTGTGGCCTCATTAAAATGCACGTATGCATATTCACTCTGTACAGAAACTCATGTTCAGTCACCTTTAAAATAAGGAATTTCAAAGACTGAAACTGAAACAAGTATCAGCCCGCAAGCAAGTGACGCAGATAGCGATGAGCAAGAGCTGAAGATCAACCCAGATTTTCCCATTCAACTATGAATTTCCTTGCTATTGTTATATGTGCGTTTTAAGTCAAATTTAATTTTGTGTACATTGTGGTTGGATTTCCTTTGTTATGGTCTGTGAGATAAATTCGATGTGAATGGTGTCACAATAAAAGAAGATGTTATGGTCTGTTTTGCCAGGACCTCACTAGAGAATTTTTATTTAAGGTGTTTTTTTTTTTTAACTTCTCAGCTTTCTTAATCAAGAGAAAACACCTCAGGCGTGCTTAAAATCAAAGGCAAAAAAATACCTGGTTGTGGGTTTTTTTTTTTTTCTGAAGTGAAATTTCTTAAGCATGCCTTCAAATGAAATTTTGTCATTTTATTTTAAAAAAAGCAATTTATGCTTATTGCATATCCTGACAAATTTGAGCGATTTTATCTAAAAGATCATAGATAAAAATGTTAACTGAAGATTTTCTTTTTCATTTCGGTAAAAATCTTGCTTATGCAAAAGTCCTTTGTAACCAAAAGAAAAAGAATAATTTTTGTAGGTCCATTTCTAATCCTTCAAAGCATGGTAATTTGTGCATGTTTAATGAGCATGCCATTTAACAGTATATTGGTGCATATACCTCACTATAGCTAAGGTAATCTTGCTTCCCTTTTGTAGTGGGCAAAATCTAGTTTCATCAATAACGTAAATTTTGTTTGTGGACTGTTATATATTCAGATTGGTCTGTTCTCTTATGTTACATTTCTTCAAAGAACAGTTACTGCAAAACTCCTTTCAGCCAATGACTTCTCATCTGACCTAATTTTGAATCAGGTGATGAAGCTGACCCTAAAACAGATCTCTCAACCAGTGTCTACCTGCATGAGACTCAGCATCAGATTTAGAGACAGGAGAGAGAACCTACATTATTGATTATGTATGCCTACCATTTATACATCTTATTTTTCTGCAAATACCAAAAATTAAGTAAGTAATTGGTGATAGATGTAATATGAGATACCTTAAAGAAAATTATCTCCAGCAAAAATGAAGCTAATACAAAATTCAAAGCTTTAGTAGTTTTTTGAACCATTTATTTATTATCCTTTTCAAAAAAAAAAAGAATCAGCCAACACACACAAAAACTCTTGTTCTCTAAACAAATCTGAATTTTTACTTGTGCTCAAAAGTATTTGTTTTCCTGTTTCAGGGGTTGGGGCTTGGCTTTTCTGTTTTCTGGATTTTATAAGATCCTTCCTGTAGAGCCTCCAGAAATGAAGGGAACATCTTTAAATCTTATTTGACTTAAATGAATGGATAGCTAATCCTGATTAGATGTTTCTGTAGAGCATACTGTTTAAAAACTACTATGGTACTTGGCTGTCCTGGTTGATTGTAGGAACACCTTTTTTCATCCCAGTGGTTAAGGTCTCAGAGGTCACCTAAGGTAACCATTTATTGTAAGGGTCTTTAAGATTTCCTGTTGAATTTTCTTAACCATTTCAAAAATCACCCAGTGGTTGTGTCAGAGCTTTCCATAACCTCCAGACTCAAACCAGAAAACCATCTGCATAACTAAATGACCGTGCCCACCCACATAACCTCTGACTAGAGCAGAGGATGAAATTAGACATCACATTCTTTTAATCATAATGAAACTAATATTTAGAGCTCTGTTGTCAGAATCTTCTACTTACGACACTTTGTTTTCTTCTGTTTTTGTTTTTGTTTCTCCAGGACACTTGGGCTTCCAGGACAGTTTTGTCACATCTGGTGTTTTTAGTGTGACTGAGCTAGTAAGAGTGTCACAGAGTAAGTATAATTTCGCTTTGATTTGGTGCAGATTTGCCTTGAGTTTGTGCGTACTGTCTGCCTAGGCCTCTAAGAGACATAAATAACTTTCAGAATTCCCTTTTCATTCACCCATTGGAAGAATTTTGCCATGCAGTTCGTTTGACAGCCAAGAATTTAAATCAGGAAAAATTAAATATCATTTTAATGTGAGGCGTGGGGAGAGAACTAAAATCCTGAGCGTCTCACATACTCCCTAGTTTATAGTGTGAACTTGGTTAAAAAAAAATTCCGAGGCTTCCCTGATTTCTAAGAAATTCTGCATTTTAAAAGAATTTGCTTTTGACCTTTAAAGAATGCTGATGCCCTCGGCATGAGTGACACAGTACAGCATGATCATTACCAGCTTGTCAATACTCACTAACAGTGAATTAAGAGCACCTGTCACCACCCTGTTCCATTGATCAAAGGGTCATTGATTGTATCTGTGCTATGATGTAATCCAGACAGTCCAAGGAGAAGACATAAGATTCATTCTCATTCTTTCTATCTTTCTTTGTCTCTCTGTGTGTCTCTCTCTGTCTCTGTCTCTCTCACACACACACTCTTGCCTTCCCTTAAGATCATCTCTTTGTTTTTATTTAAAAACATGTTTGTAGTAACTGTGATGTGCTGTGCTCCAATAAAAAGACTGAAAAGTAAGTACCAATTTTTAAATTTTTACTTTTTACCCTCCACCTCCTTCAAAACACCACTTGTAGTTAAATTTACATTCTTAAATTGGTCTCAACCAAAAACCCCAAACCTATTGCCATCAAGTCTATTCAGACTCATAGCGACCCTATAGGACAGAGTAGAACTGCCCTATACGGTTTCCAGGGAGCACCTGGTGGATTCAAACTGCCAGCCTTTTTGTTAGCAGCCAAACTCTTAACCACTATGCCACCAGGAAATCCTTTTTGGAATAAGGTGGATTAAAAATGAATATTTTCATTTCAAGTTCATACCTCCTATTCACTGCACTATGGAATTGCAAAATTGACCCAATAAACCAGTCAATCCCATGACAAGATGTTAGGTCAAGCAAGCCAAGCTATCCCTGATCCCACAGCCACTGATTCCATCAGCTCTTATTTCAGTCATTCATAGGCTAGAAGACTCTTAAGAGTACAGAAAGTGGGATACAGGTAGGGGCAGGGAATCTGAGGGTAAGGAGATGGATAGAAAAAGAATCTAATGGCTACTGAGCATTTATTATCTGCCAGGCACTGTGCTAGGCTTTCCTGTATGTTACATAAATCAATCCTTGCAATACACTTGTTAGATAAGAAATTACTCCCTTTTTACAGATGTGTTAAACTGAGGAGCTATTTAAGTGGGTTATCCAAAGTCAAACAGTGGCTAAATGTTTGAGCCAAATCTGAGTGATGCTAGGATCCATACTGGCCTGAGGGAATTTGAAGAAATCTGCAACAATAGACAGGGAAATTAGCTGGAAGGTTACTATGGGTGTTAGGGTTCTGGGAGTCTGGGACCCTTGGCTGATGCTAAGGTGTTCTGTGTAGGGGATTTGGAACCCTAACTAATGATGCATTAGGAGCAGCAGGATGTGACTTGGAATGAAGAAGTTGCTATCATATCACTGAAGTGTGCTTAAAGTTCCGGTCGCCATCAAGTCAACTCCACCTCGTGGCAAGCCAGTGTGTGTTAGAGTAGAACTGTGCTCCATGAGGTTTTCAGTGGCTGATTTTTCAGAGGTAGATCATTAGGATTTTCTTCCAAGGCACCTCTAGCTGTACTGAAACCTCCAACCTTCCTGTTAGCGACTGAGCATGTTAACTGTGCACCAACCAGGGATTTCGTGATTAAAGTAGCAACCAGTTAAGTAAAGACTAGATTGCCTTGTTAGCTGGGAGGCTATATACAGCCCTCATTATAGCACAGCTAATTAGCCAGTCACTGGGCATAGACATAGACATATATTTGTGCTTTTTTTTTTTTTTTTTAAACTTTTTAAGGCTTTTGAAAGTGGTCAGTATCCTACGTTGTTCTCGTTGTAATAATAATAATATACAAGTAAGTATCAAAGTATACCTGTTGCAGTCTTGTTATCAGAGAAATACATTTATTGAGCCCTCACTGGGATCTAAACATAGGCTTAAAGAGTGAAAAGGGGGGAAAAAGTCCTTTTAACTCTAAGATTGGAGTGCCAAAACCAAACCTGTTACCATCAAGTCGATTCCGACTCATAGCAACCCTATAGGACAGAGTAGAACTGCCCCGTAGGGTTTCCAAGGAGCAGCTGGTGGATTCGAACTGCCAATCTTTTGGTTAGCAGCTGAGCTCTTAACCACTTTGCCACCAGGGCTTCAAGATTGGAGTACTAGAGCATTTTTTTTCTATCCTGGCTGCCATATGGGCATTCACCCTTCATTACCACCAGTATCCCGAGGCCTGAGGGTTAACTGAGATGGCTCACACTGCTCAGAAGCATCCCCAGCATCTCGCCCTTCTTCCACTTCCTGTATCTCCCTTTAAGGCCTATATCCCAGGGCTTATCAGTTCCAAGCTTTACTACACCTCCCTTCAGTCTAAGATAGCATAGTTGCCAAGTGAATTCGAAAGCTGCCTTCCAGACTGCCCGAGGCCATTTGCAGAGGGACCTGGTTCTGTTTCCTGTCCCTGTTTAGGGGGCTGTGCGGTGGATGCCTGGCATCATGACCGTCCTTCGGCTCTTGAATGCTTTCCGATTCTGCACACTGCTGTGTAATCGCTCTAGGACTAACTCACACATGGCCTCCTGCTGACTGAAACTGTTTGGCAGGAGTGGGACTGGGCTGTGTCAGCTAAATCATGGCTTCAGGCCAAACTGGTAGACTGCGATCCAGAGGCCCCTCCCTCTTGCAGATCCTTAATCCAGGTTTGTCGGGGTCTGTTTCACAAGATTGCTTGGGCTGCTGGGATAAGGATCCCCCAGCTCAGGTTTCCTCACCCTCACACCTTTCTGAAGGACTGAACGCTTAGAGAAGCCTCAGGATGCTGTTGAAGTCCTTAACCATTCCTTACAGTGCTTCCTCCTTCCCCGTGCTGAAAAAGCTGAGTCCATTTTAGAGTCGCAGTGGGCACTTTTTATAGATGAGTGGGGCTGGGGTGCATTCTGCATCCTTGGAACAGAAATAAGCCAACTAGCACATAAATTGATTAAATCCATGATGTTAGCCCTGTTAGGAGCATGATGCAATAATATGAAAAATTATAGTTGCTAGCATTTATTAAGAATACACCATGTACCAGGCATTGTACAAAGCACCTTGTAAACATTATCTCATTTAATCCTCTCATAGTTAGTGTTATTGTCTGTTTTTACGGATGAAGGAGACCATGAGGCTCAAAGAGGTTAAGAAACGTGCTCTTTTTACTTTGTTGTACTCAGCTAGCTGACTACAGATATTTCATGACCTCTGCTATAACTACACTATAGAACTAAATAGAATCCAAGGAGTCTATGCTTTTAATAACTATTTCTTGTTAGAGTTGATGAACTTTTAGCTTATTAATTGTGGCATTTTTTTTTTTTAAGGTTAAATGATTCTCGAGTAAACCAAAACAAGTAAAATAATTTTTTTTATTTTTGCTGGGTGTTTTTAATGACTCAGTTTCTTAGAATTTCTTCCATTGTGTTACAGATGCCTTCTTAACCTCCTTTTATCTAGCCCAACCCCATCCAGTCTTCCGAAAACCAAAACCAAACCCGTTGCCGTTGAGTAGATTCCTACTCATAGCGACCCTATGGGACAGAGTAGAACCGTCCAATAGGATTTCCAAGGAGTGGCTGGTAGATTCGAGCTGCTGACCTTTTGATTAGCAGCTGAGCTCTTTACCACTGTGCCACCAGGGAATTATCCCTAATTATGACCATGTATATGGCCTGGATATCTCACACTAACGGCAGTCTGAGTTTGAAAACTTTCCCTCTTTCTGGATCTTTAGTATTCAATATTTTTTAAAACATTGCTAGTAAAAACACTCATTTTCCCCAGGTTTACAATTAGTTTCTGTTCATAGCTTTTCTCCTTTTAAATTTAATGAGAAGCGTACTATTTCAGGATCTCCTCATGAGGATTCTCTGAAATACCTATGTGCTAAGTTTGTTATTTATCCCTTTCAAAACACAATTATTTTCTGCTTTGAATTTTTTGTTGATACCATGTGTTTTCAGTAGTGGAATGCATGCGGAGTCATTGAGTATTTGTTTAAATTTTTCATTGGTAATACAGATTTTGAGAAATATTATGTGAAAATATGTGATTTGTGGGAGCCTGTCTGGCCCACTGGTGTTGAGTAACAGGCTTTATTGCAGGGCGCCTTCCATTTGGGTACATGGGGCACCTCTGGTTTTGCCTAATACACCAGCTATTTTGCTTCAACGAACTTTCTTTTATCTTTCACCATTACACAGGTCCCTACTGGAGGGAAGCAAATACTTTCAGAAGGAAAAGTATACTTCTAAAGAACTCCAGAGGCATAAAACGTGGGTGGGATACCTATGTTCCACAAGTCACGAAAGGGTTAAAGTAGTGTTAACTGCAGAGGTGACAGTGCCCGAGAAACTCAAGAGAAAGCTGCTGGGTTAGCCTCCAAATCCAGAGGTGAGGGGATCAGGCAACAAGGTCGCGTGACATCCAGTTATACTGATCCGATGCTCAGAGCCCTTGGAATCAGGGATTCTTGCTGGCAAGTTGAAGCTGCAGGCTCCCACTAACTCCGCTTTTGCCCTTGCCTCCTGTCCACCCACCCTTCGATTTTTTGCATAATCATTTCAAGTCCACAAAAGGCAGGAAAGGAGAGTTGTGATTCTCTCAGCAGCAGGGAAGTACTGTAGCATAAAAACAGTATGTATTCCTTCTCTTCCTACCTTTTCCCCCATGTGCAAGGACCATCTGAAAGTAGTTCTAGTTATTTATTACTTTGTTGCCGGGGAGGGAGAAAATGCAGACCGCTAGACACTGTGCCAGAGAGAA